TTGGTCATAGTAGTTTCTGTCGACATTCGAATAGCACTTTGAACCTAAGTTTGAAACAATATATAAAATAGGTGTACTTAAAGTCAATGGAACAGACAAACCTTGTATGACACCTTTTCCTGTTATAGGAAACTGTTGGTAGTAAAAACCAGATATAAGTTTTGTATTATAGCTCATATCGTTTATACTAAACTCAGTCGGACATCCAAACATAATGAAACCTGCTCTAGTTGCAGCACATGTTACATCCGTCCTTAAAGTATTAAATAAGTCAACAAAACCTGTTGGTGGTATATCTGAGTAAGTATCTTCAAAGAAGTATTTTTTACCATTCACAACAACAAAGTCTTCTGGTGTCAAAAGAGCAAAACAGGCTTTAGTCGTCATCGTGTTTAAGGTCAGTTTACAATATCGTCCTTGAGGACTTTGTAAGTTTGTTGTTATAGAATTATATGACTCAGGGTTTTTAGTCGTAATAGTATAAACCACTATGTCTTCTGCCATTTACTTAGCAACTAAATTTTAATGAAATGTTGTGGTCGTCAAATATTTTTATGACGTCTGGGAAACTATATTTTAAGTTCAACGTTTCACCTCCTTTCATAACGTATATCTTGTCAATGACATTATATGAAACACCACAGCAAGCAATGTCGGGTTCTATTTCTTTGATGTTTATATCGTCTGCCTCTGTCAAAAGTTTCAATAGTTCTTTCAAAATTTCATGAGGTGCGATGACATATGAGTTCACTTTTACAGGGTTGTGTTCGACCAAGTTTAACATTATACTAAAGCTTGACAAATCTTCTCCTGAGTTTTAAGTTTCTTTCAGTTGTGTAGTCGTTTCGAATATCTGCAACAGAACTTAAGTCTCTGCTAACTTCAGGATATGTTGGTTGTTCTTTTACAGGAACTATTGTTATACCATCTTCGTCTTCGTATGGTTTCCCCACTTCAACATCTCTGTCTTTGACATTGACAACAACACTTTGACTGTTTGTTTGAGTTGGTGAATTTAACTTCACATCTGCCACCGCCATTAAACCTTTTGAAACACTTACGCTTCTATTTTTCGGAAATGACATTTTACTTAGAATAAAAAGATGGACGTATTCGAGTATCTCTTCGAATTGAAGCAGAACAAAGTTTACACACACAAACAATACAAATACATTGACAGAATAGTTCTTTATACAAACAATGGAAAATGTTATAGAATAGCAGTCTTTGCTGAACCAAAATATTTTCATAAAGCAAAGAAAGTTGGTATAACTGAAATGGTGAAAGTTCTTGAAGCAGACAAAAATATAACAACAAAACTGACCGATATTTCTAAAGGAAAGTTTTTAATACAATATTATATCAAAACTGGCGTACTGTCAATATTTGACGGAGAGAAGTCAGTTCAAGAACAACTTACTGACCTGCTGCCAAAATCTGCTCGATGGAAGCTGTCGTTATACCAATCTGAGGAGCCCCAGCAGGTTTCATCGAACGAATTTTCAAAAGAGCATCTTCCGTGAAAAGTGCTATTGGTTTTGTAAACTTCTTTGCTTTCAATTCATTTGGACCGTCTCTGTCACCAGTATATTGTATTTGAACTGTACCAACAGTTGAAATACCACCCATAAAGTCTTCTGAGTCAGCAAATGGAATGCCAAGCCAAAAGTTTGAACGGTCTCCATTTGTATATTGAGTTTTTTGACCTCCTGTATGAGTCCATACTTTCACATATGGCATAATAGAACTTTGCATTTCAGGGTTAATGGTTGTTGTGAAGTTGTTGTTAAAGTTCATAGCATCTAATGTCAAGTTGTATGACCTCATATCCTCAACTGTAGAATATTCTTCTCTTGGATAATATTTGCCATCTATGTTTATATGGTATTTAATACCAGGGTTGTAGAAGCAAGAATAGTCATTTATAGTTCGTCTGAACAGTACAAACATAGTATCTGCATGTTTCATTGCAGTTGTTAAGGCAATATCTGTTCTTGCACCTGGGTCAGCACTTTGGTTTCCAACTTCACCTGCAAAGTCTTTGACAGATATTTGGTGTATAGGGAACATAAGTGGAACTGCAATATATTTGGCAGCTAAAGCATTTGAAATATCTGGGTCCAACATATAGACTGCAAGTCTGCTTTCTATTCTCTTGCATTCAAACTTTTCGCATGTAAACTTAACTGGGTCCCAAGCAGTTCCAGCAGCATTGAAATAATAGTTTACTTCAGTGTTGAGGTTTGAGAAACCAAAGTCTAAGTCAACTTTGTCTTTGCAAAATTCGGCGAATGACGTTTGATTTGCTCCCTTTACGTCTGTAAGAGTGAATGGGTCTTGTGTTGGTGCAATGACTAAGTTATTTTTGCTTGGAGTAAGTTCGATAGAAATTTTTCCTGCCCAGTTTGGCAAGTATCTTAAAAACCTGAAGATGAGGAAAGATGACAAAGGAACTCTAAGTTTCATTTTACTTTGGTTACTGCTGCTGCATTTTGTCCAGAAAGGTTAACATAAACTCCTGGAACGTTAGGGTCAAGTCTTCTTATTTTCTCAATAGTTGCATACTGGTCTGTTTGTTCTCTAGCTTGTGGTTGTACTGAGTTTCTCAAAGCGAACCATTCATAGTTTGCCCATGTTACTGTTTGAACTAAGTCAGAGTTAGAATATATCTTATATCCCATGAAAACTTCTGGAGCATATTGGTATCCGACATAGAAAATTCCATTGCAACCTTTCTTGTCAGACAACTTGGCAGAAGGTTTTATTTCAATGTCTTGTTCCACGTATAAGAAAGAGTTGTCAATAGAAATTATATGAAACCTGTCGCAAGCAATATCTACTGTTGTTGAAGAACCTTCTCCAAACTCACCTACGTTTCCATAAGAAACAGCAGTTGTATATTCGTAAGTTCCAGGAACTATTTCTGACCTTCTAATGGCATTGTCGCATTCGTTATACCATTCGGAAACATTTCCATTCATAGCATCCAAAACTGTTGGCGTTATATTCTGAGCGGCGTACATTTCATATGAGTAAAAATATAGAATAGTTGGATTTATATGTCATAATAGAACCCACGTGGACCAAGCTTTACTTTCTTCCTGACTGAGTTTTTAACTCTTCTTTTTCCTTCATTGCCCTCTGCTTGAAGTTGTTGCATCTTTGCATTATGTTCATCTAGTATGTTGCAAATTTCCCATGTCCTTTTTGCCTTTTGGCTCTGGTCGCCCATCTCAGGTAACCTATATCCTAGAAAGAGTTTGTCATAGTCTGTATTTGAGTCTTCGCGTATTGTTTGCATGACTCTTTCCTGAGTTTCCGGTTCAAGCTCTTCAAACAGTGCCTGTCCATATGGAATATGCTCGTTTCCAAATATATGTTTTTGTAGCCATTCTGGTTTTCTTTCCATGTTACCAACTATATCTTTTGTGAATGGGAAAGCTTTACCCAATCTTTCAGTCTTGCGTCGTTTATTTCTGTAGTTGGTTTTATTTTGTCAAGGAACATGTTTTTCAATACTAACATTTCATTTGGTACTGTCCATTTGAGTTTTCTTAAATATTCATCCCTTCTCAGTTCATTGTCTGCAAAGTAAGTTTTTATGACATTTTGTAAACTTTCGTTTGCAAGGTCATGTACAATAGGTTCTCTTCCTTCGCTGTCCTAACTTTCTTTCTAAACTCTTCACCAAATATACCATCTCTATGGTTCTGTGTAGTTCTTTGAGATAAATGTTCTAGAACGTCAGGTGTTATATTTCCATCAGCCATGTTCATTTCATACTGGTTCAAAATATCTGCATCTTTCATATCTTTCAATGGCATTAAAGCCGCGCTGAAAATACCAGCTATATCTGGTTCACCATTCACTTCCATTGCGTCTACAACTTCTTGGAATTGGTTGTAAGTTTATGAACCACCTATCCGGATTAGCTTTATGACCCCATCTCATTGTAGTTCCATCGTCTGCAGAAACAAAAGTAGGTTTGTTTCCATCTTGGCTAGGTTCTGAATGAACTTTAAACAATGTTTCATTTCTATATGTTTTCTTGAAATTTAACCTTTTATCTTCACCGAGTTCATCCGAAGATTGAACGTTAAATGCTCGTAAGTAAAAAGGGTTGTTGTATTTGTGTACATTTTTTTTCAGTTCTTCCATTCTATGCTGAATATTTTCATCTGGTGTTGGAGTCTTTTGTATGTCGGCAAACATTTTTCGATATTCTTCTACTATGTCAGCCGAATTTTTTTTAGACTCTTGGAAATATTCCATATTCTCCGCATACTCTTGTTGAGGGTCAAGATTTTTCGGCTGTTCCAAATCTTCATCTAGTTCTGTGAAGTTAGTTTCCAAAGGAGGACTTGTTCGTTTCCTTCAGGCTCTTCTAGCTGTTGTTGCTGAACTATTTCTTCCATGTCTGGTTGTATCTGAACTTCTTCCTGTGGAGTTTCTTGTACCTCATCTGCTGGCATTTCATATATTCCGAGACCGTTTTCAACAATTTCCCTATCTACGTCATCCGCATTCATAAGCTTTTGTTCTTTCGTTCCGTCTCTATTTTTTACGCGTTTCATGACGAAAGTTGAATTGTCATTTAGCTCTGACATCAAATATCTCGGAGTAAATTCATCCATGTCATTTGGATGATATGCTATTAAATCATATCCCTTAGCGAGCTTGTATTTTCCAGGTTTGAGATTATATCCGTTTTGGTGCTGAGCCATAAAGCTAAATAGGTTCGGGTCAGTATTTCCATCCTTGAACTTTCCAATAGCTTCTTTATATCTGTCACTAAAGTCAATACTATCTGGGAAACCACACTCTTCTTTAAGCATTTTTAAGAATTCTTGGTTTCCTTGTTCTCTACTTCTTTTATGTCCTTGCTCTGTTTGTGGAGGTGGTTGTTGTGCAGGGTTTTGAACTGTTGGTTGCTGTGCTGGTTGTTGTGTTGGTTGTTGTGCTGGTTGTTGTTGTTGTTGTGTTGGTTTTGGTGCATGCCTGTGTCTGTGTCCATGTGACGATGTAAATGTTTTAGGTAGTCCTGGTGCAGGTGCTTCTCTTGGAGGGTTTGGTGGTATATAAGTTCCACCAGCTGGCACATATGTTCCATCTGCAGCGTAATGTCCTACCTGACTTTTCGTTTTTAAGAAAGCATTTACTAGGTCTGTTTTGGTCTGTTGTAACTCTTTTTCTTGACTTTTCACAACAGTTGCTCTAACGGCGTCATAGGCACTTTGAACTGCCTGTCTCGTTGCTGCATCTGTTATTTTCGTCATATTTTGTGCTACTTCTTTTAACTCTTTGTCGAAACCTTCAGACTTCAGTTTCTTTCCAGATGAGAAGTCGTTCACTTGTTTCACCTTACTATGAAGAGCTTCGAAGGCGTTCTTAAAGTCAGCATTTGTTAAAGCTTCATTTGAACTGTCTTCATCCGCTTGTATTTTTGTCCTTATTGACCCTATAAGTTGGGCTGCTTTAGCGTTGGCTTGGGCATCTAACCAGTCATTGTTAGCTTTTATATATTCTGCGCTTTTCATTGCCTTTTGCATGGCTGCGTCGTTATTTTTACTTTCTTGTGCTAAGTTTTCATACTGTACGGTTTGGTTTTGCAACTGTAAAAGTTTTTCTGCCTTTACATTTGCTTCAACTTCTTTTTTATACTCATCGCTATCCATATATGTCTTCAGGGCTTTTTGTTTTATCTCTTCATCTTTCAGTACTTTATATTGAGTAGTATGGTTTTTCAAATTTATAACATCTTGTTCCATTTTTGCTACTTCTGCTGCTTTTTCTGACACTTTTTTCGCATATTCCTCTGTACTTAGTTCTTTCAGTTGTTCTTCTTTCTTCTTTTTCTCTACGTTTAACTCATTGAGTTTCTTTGTGTGTCTGTCATATTCTAGTTTCTTTTCGTTTTCACCTATTTGCTTCTGTATGTCTATGTTTGACTTTTTGACATCTGTTATTTGATTTTTGAGTGAACTCAAATTCATTTGACTTTGAGGGTTATAAGCTGTTCCGTCTGCAGCTCCACCATAGCCTGCCATTTTCGCTAAAAGTGCCGCTCTTAAACCTCCACTCTGTGCACCAATGACTCGGTTTAAGAGCATAGGGTTGCTTGACATTTGTTGCAACATAGTGGGGTCATTCATCATTTGTTGTTGCAACTGTTGTTGTGGTGTCAGTTTTACTATTGGATGTTTCAATGCTCTCTTCCTCTTACGTATATTCTTACGTAGCTTACGTGGCATTTTAAGTGAAGTTAAAAAGCGGTTTTTGACAGATGTTTATATGACACTTCTTCGTAAAGACTTTGTTAAGACTTCTTCATAAATGAGTGTAAATGACCCAAAAATATATTTTAGGTGAAGAGGTGAGATTTCACCTGTTTTTTCACCTAATTTTTCACCTCTTGAATTTTCATGAATTTCTTCGTAAAGACTTTGTTAAGACTTCTTCATCTAATTTCTCATGAACTTTCTTGTCTATGTTTTGTCAAGATTTCTTCGTAAAGACTTTGTTGAGATTTCTTCGTAAATGAGTGTAAATGACCCAAAAATATATTTTAGGTGAAGAGGTGAGATTTCACCTGTTTTTTCACCTAATTTTTCACCTCTTGAATTTTCATGAATTTCTTCGTAAAGACTTTGTTAAGACTTCTTCATCTAATTTCTCATGAACTTTCTTGTCTATGTTTTGTCAAGATTTCATCGTAAAGACTTTGTTGAGATTTCTTCGTAAATGAGTGTAAATGACCCAAAAATATATTTTAGGTGAAGAGGTGAGATTTCACCTCTTTTTTCACCTCATTTCTCACCTCTTGAATTTTCATGAAAAGACTTTGTTAAGACTTCTTCATCTAATTTCTCATGAACTTTCTTGTCTATGTTTTGTCAAGATTTCATCGTAAAGACTTTGTTGAGATTTCTTCGTAAATGACCCTAGTAGTATATTTTTGGTGTAAATTTCATGAAAATTCAAGAGGGTGAGAAATGAGGTGAAAAAAGAGGTGAAATCTCACCTCTTCACCTAAACATTATTTTTGTCTGATTTTACGAAGAAGTCTTGACAAAACATTTACGAAGAAGTCTTGACAAAACATTTACGATGAAGAAGTCTTGACAAAACATTTACGATGAAATCATGAGTTTTCTACGATGTTAGAAAAGAGGTTAGAAAAGAGGTTAGATCTAACATTCTAACATAAACATTATTTTTGTCTGATTTTACGAAGAAGTCTTGACAAAACATTTACGATGAAGAAGTCTTGACAAAACATTTACGAAGAAATCATGACAAAACATTTACGTTCATGTTTGACAAAACATTTACGAAGAAGTCTTGACAAAACATTTACGAAGAAGTCTTGACAAAACATTTACGAAGAAGTCTTGACAAAACATTTACGAAGAAGTCTTGACAAAACATTTACGATGAAGAAGTCTTGACAAAACATCCTCAGGGCTAGAAGGCACGAAGTGCCTGGAAGCCCCACTACTTTTTTTTTTTTTTTTTTTTTTTTTTTAAAACTGTGAAGAATTTCAACAAAGCTTGCATATATTGAAATTCAACTGTTAAAAATTTTCATATCAATTGAAATTTTCTGATATTCTTTTAACCTATCATAGTTATATAAATTTTATGTAAATAATTGCCCGTTAAAACCTCCATTTTTCCACAGAAAATGAATTGTTATTAAAATAGATATATAATTTAAATTATAATTAGAGACTTTCACTATATTTTTCTGAAAGTAATTCTATCAAAAAATAATTAAATTAAAATCACACTAATTCCTATATATTATATGATTTTATATGGTATTATTGATACGATTATTGATTTTCTCATAAAATTGATATGAATTTTGAATCAATAAAAATCTGTGTCATATATTATTTGATTGTAATATATCATTATTGACGGTTGAATTAACAATTTTTTGTAGTCCTTCAAAATTGAATGCCTATTCCCATTCAAAATTAATTATTTAGAACTGCGAAGTTTACATGTATGTAGTTATAAATTAAAATAATGTCGATTTCTCAAATTTGATTTGCCATTCAAAACAACTTTTAATAATGGTTCTTTTGAACATCGTCGATACTTTTAAAGTACGCCGCTCTGTTCGGAGCTTTACAGGTCAAATATCAAAAGAAAACAGCCAGATTATTGAGAATATCATTAAGGAATGTAACGCACTTAAATCTCCATTTGGAAAGAATACCGAAATTTCGCTAACTGAGCCTGGTATCGGAACTTATGGTGTAATAAGTAATGAATCTGGTTGGATAGCAATTAAAATTCCAGTAGGTGTAGAAAAAAAGGAAGATTACTATCAATACTTAATCGATGGTGCATTCAAAGGCTCGGTTGCTGTTATGAAACTAACCCAAAATGGAATTGGAACGGTTTGGGTTGGCGGGTCTTTCAATGAAAAAATTGTCGAATCCAGATTTCCAGGATATCATATTCCTTGCGTAATAGCGTATGGCATCTCATCTGATAAAACTAAAATAATGGATCATTGCATGAAAATACTGCGCGGAAGATCAAGATTTGATTATACTTATTTATTTTATGACGAAAAGGCTCATACATCACTAAAAAAGCAGCCTGAAGGCAAGATTGGAGAAATACTGGAATGTGTTCGTTGGCTTCCTTCAGGTATTAACAAACAATCCTGGAGAATTTCTTTCAATGAAAATGAAAGGAAATTCAGAATATTCGATTACTATAACCTATCCAACGGATATTCTCCATTTGATATAGGAATCATGATTGGAGGATTTTATTTTTATTCCCAAGGACATTATAAAGTTGAATTTGAAAATTATCAAGAGTCTTATCCATCTGGAGGAAAATATATATGTTCAATAATTCTTGATGAATCGTTGTTTAACACGTAAAATTGTTTTTACAAATTTTTCTTGTACTTAGTTCTCACCTCCATTGTTGTTTTTAAATATAAAAATTTAAGAATTTTTGAATTCATTTGATCAAATAAAATTTGATGACATTTTTTTATAGGCAAATTGAAAGATGACAGAATTGGATGCCGAAAACCAAATTTTTAAGGATGTACATCCTCGGATAGCTCCTGTTGATGCTTCAACATTTGAATATGCACCTGATAGCCTAATATATGCAGTTAAAAAGAAAAATAAAAATGATCTCGATCGTTTACTTGCTAGTGGTTTTCAAATCAACAGCAGAGATTCAGAAGATGTATCGTTACTTCATTATGCTGTTAAAACTGGTGATCCTGAATTTTTTGAATACGTTATTTCCAAAAACCCTCATGTAAATGTAGTTTCCAGGGATGAAACAATTCTCATGACAGCAGCAAGTAAAAAGAATGAGCAGATTATACGTATTTTAATTGAAAAAGGTGCGACTCAAGATTACGTAACAGCAAAAGGAAAAATTGCCTTAGATTTTGGCAATGAATCTGCTAGAAAGGTGCTTGTTAACTATACAGGTGATGATTTAAAGTCAAAGCGCAAAATATGTGAAGCAGCTAGAGAAAATAATACAGAAGAAGTTCTATATCTACTTGCAAAAGGCTCTTCTATCAACGAAAAGGATAAAGATGGTATGACGCCATACTTATATGCTTGCAAAAATGGCAATCTTAGCCTATTATCAATCCTCACGAAACTTGGATGCAATGAAGAAGTATCTGATAATGACGGTAACAACGGAGCGTTTTTAGCTACTCTAAATAGACAGCACAAAATTCTCAAATTCTTATATTTACGTGGCATTGATTTTAAATTTGCTATTAAAGGCGAAACTATGCTACATGTTGCTATAATTAATAACGATTTCGATACTGTGAAGTATCTACTTGATCTTAAATTTGATCAATCTATCAGAAACAAAGATGGATTGGGTTCATTATTTTATGCAATTTCGCTCGATAGAGATAAAATTATCCCTCTCCTCTACAACGAGAAGTCAAAGGATGAGACATATAATGACATGAATCCTGTGATGTTTGCAGTCGAGAAAAACCGACTCAACACTGTAAAAAAGCTCGTTGAACTTAAAAGTGACACCAGATATCGAAATCAGCAAGGATTTGATTCATTCACTCAAGCCGTTAAGAATGGTTTTATCGATATAGCCAACTTTTTGATAGAATCTGGAATTGATGTCAACGAAAACGGTCCTGGAGGTGACTCTGCCTTAATGACCGCAATTAGATACTCAAACTTGGAGATGCAGAAATTTATCCTGTATAAAAACTGTTCACTCACGACTGAAAACAAAACAGGAGAGAATTGCTATCAATATTGCGTTCTCTACAAGAAATATGATATTATAAATCTTCTACTTCAAAAAGTTAATGATGATCAAACATACAAAATGGCAAGGAAGTCACTCTACATGGCAATCGAAGCAAATGATTTTGATTCCACAAAGATTCTCCTTGATTTCTTCAATCGTGAAAATAAAGATCCATATGATTGTCTTGTGAAATACGCGAAGACGCAAGAGATGCGAGCACTTCTAATTAAAGCTGACCAAAATGATGTAAAGCTAAAAGTTAAAAAGGGTAGAACAATATTTGATAGCTGCTCAGAAAATTTTGTTCAGGAAATCAAATATTTTATAGTTCAAAACGAAGGAAACTTAGAAATGCGTAATCCTAGCGGATGGACTCCATTAATTATGGCGGCTGGTTGCGGACAAATAGATTCTGTTAAATACCTTGTATCAATCGGCGCTGACAGATTTGCCAAAACAAACGGCGGTTCAACAGCTATTTCAATCGCAACTCAGTATGGATATACCAAAATAATTGACTATTTAATGTCAGTTGGCCTCAGTCCAAACGATTTCGTTTCTGGTGGTCAAAATTGCTTATGTTTGGCAGCATCTGAAGGAAAAATTGATGTCGTAAGGTTCCTCGTTGAAGAAAAATCTATTGACATCAATGAGAAAAATCAATACGGCAAGAAAGCCATCTTCTGTGCAACAGAAAAAGGCAGAAATGAAGTCGTTCAGTATTTAATCTCAAAAGGAGCTGATGTCAATGATATCGGCTTTGATGGAATTCCTCTTGCTTTTCTTGCATATCAGAAAGGGCAAAATGAGGTTTACAAAACATTAATAGAAAACGGTGCGCAAACAAATGTTAACGATAAGAATGGCCTAAATATGTTTCATTATGCCGCAACGAGAAATGATATTGAAACAGCTCAGAAATGTATCGAAAGCGGTGCCGATATCAATGAAGCCAGAGAATCAGATCATCTGACACCATACCTTATAGCTTGTTACAGCGGATCACTTGAATTCTTGCAATTCCTGGAACAGAAAGGTGCTGTTTTTGATTTGGAAAGTTGTAATGGCGTTGGTCCCCTTTATGCAGCAAGCGAGGGTGGTCATTTAAACGTTGTTCAATATTTAATAGAAGTCAAGAATATTACAAGTAAAAAGGATATCCATGGAATGACACCACTTCTTGTAGCATGCAAATTTGGTCATGAAAATATTGTTGATTATTTATTGACCAAAGGCTCTGATTATAGTGAGCGAGATAATGAAAACTGCAGCGCCCTTTATTATGCATGCCAAAATGGATCATTATCACTTGTCAAAAAACTTGTGGAATCGAAGAAATTTGATGTTAATGAAAAATGCTGGAATGGAAACACTTGTTTGCATGTAGCTTGTCTCAACGGAAATGCAGATGTAGTGAAATATTTGATTAGGAAGAAAGCATCCCTTGATCAACGTACAAAAAGTGATAGTTTGCCGATTCACCTAGCTGCTCAAAATAATCATTCAGGTGTTTTGAAAGTTTTACTGAATGCTAATAAAGAGATGATAGATGAAAGAGGATATAACTACAACACTCCTTTAACCATTGCATGCCTGAATGAAGCCTATGAAGCGGCAAAGTTTTTATTACAAAATGGTGCCAAAATCAATGCAAGAAACGCAACAAGGCTCTCTGTGATGCACCTTGCTGCTGCAGAAGGCAGAATTTATTTAATAAGAGAACTCCTCAAGCTTGGTTTCGACGTTAACGAGAAACTAGATAATGAAACTCCTCTTGGTAGGGCATCAATGCATTGTCAATGGGATACTGTTACATTTTTGCTTTCAAATGGAGCTGTAAAAGAAAATACAAAGGCATATTCAGCACTCCATAGATGTGTTGCTGAAGATAGAATGAGTCATTTCAAGAAGCTATTAACACTTGGATTCAAGATGGAAGAAAAAGGAATCAAAGGAAGAACACCTATTGTCACTGCTATTCTCAACAAAAACATGGATTTCATTGACTATTTTATTGAAAACAATGTCGAATTAAACGCGAAAGATGATGAAAACATGACTCCAATTTATCATGCAATAACTGTTGGCTCTAAAGATATTCTTGAAAAATTGATTCAGAATGGATCTCTTGTAAATTATCAAAGACTTCAAGATACTCCTGTTATGTTTGCTATTTCTAATTCAAATTCAGAGATGCTCAAAATCCTCTTGGACAATGGAGCAGATCCGAATCTTGACTCTAAAATTGGAAAATTCCCGGCCCATTTCGCTGTCCTCAAGGATGATTCGAATTTTCTTCAGATATTATCTGGTTATGAAACAAACTATAATGTCAAAGATAGAGAATTTGAATTTTCTCCACTTGTAATGTTAATAGTTAATAAAAAGGAAGTCAACACTAAGTAGCTGCTCGATCGCAAAGTTGATGTCACTATCAAAGATAAAAAAGGAAAATCTGCTTTTTATTACGCACTTTCAAGCTCGTTGCTTGACACTGCAGAGGAAATTAGAAAACTAGGAGGTGACGTAAATGAAAAAGATGCTAATGATGAACCTATCATTATTCATTGCCTCAAGCACAACTTGAGAGATTCTGTTTTTTATTTACTAGACCATGATGTTGATGTCAACACAAAATCAAAATCAGGAAACACAATTTTGATTAAGGCATTGACAAAGAAATCTGACAAAGAAATGGCAATCAAAATTATCGAAAAAGGAGCTGATCTTAATATTCCAAGTAAAACAGGTGATTATCCTATCCACATATGTATTAAAAATAATTATCCTGATATTGTCAAACTTTTAATTTCCCATGATTGCAATTTGAATGTACAAAATAAAGCTGGTCAATACCCATTAACATTAACAAATTGGGAAACTGTTGATGATAAATCACTTGCAAAACTCTTAAAGAAGAATGGCGCTAAAGATCTTTGTTTCGAAAAGATGTGTGAAGATAAGAAACTTCAATTCGAGCACCAGGAAGCAATCAATGAAAAGAGAAAGCAAATGCTTGAGCAAACCTCCATTGAATTAGACAAGGATTATGAAACAATCGAAAAACAAAAAGATGAGAAAATGGCAGAAGTTTCTAAACTCGAAAACGATCTTAAGGGTGCACCCGCATGTACGTTTATTTGAGAGGAAGAGGATTACCCTCTCAATTTTGAAAGCTTCGTTAACTTAATATCTCGATGAATATTGGATTAAAATTGAATTTGCCCATACCAATATATCTGATACAATATCCTTAAGTTTTACTAAAAAGAATTTTTTAAAATCCCTGCAGATTCGGGGATTTTTAAATTTTTTGATTTTTTTCGAAAATTTTTCGAGAAAAAAATATTTTCAGAAGAGCCTTAACGGCTAAGTTTTATGTTTAATGTTGAGTATCAAAAAGAATGGGCATCTGATATAGCCATCATATATCCCAGAAGCAAATAAAAATTCTGACTTTTTAAGCATAAAAAATGAAATTTTATTTTTTGCAAAAAACAGGCCCCCCTGATGTACGTTTATTTGAGAGGAGGAGGATTAAATTTTTGAAAGCACTAAAATTTGTAAATATGCTAGTTATATAATAATATGCATTATTTTAAAAAATAAAAATTAAAGCACGTTAAAATCTTTTTTGATGAATTTTTACAAAAGCTACTCAGGATAATGCAAGATATGAGTAGTTAAACATAAATTTCAAATCAGATTTTACTTATAATAAATATTTTAAATTTCCGAAAATTAAGTTCAGATCGACTCTATACGTAGTAAATACTAAATAAGGTGCCAAAAACCTATTAAACAGTATCAAAACTATCAAGATTGTAATGTTTTTGAAGAAAAATTTATAGAATTATGGACTTCAAACAGATATTATGTAAATAAAAATAATATAATGAATTTATTTATTCGTATAATAGCAGTAATAAGTCGATTATTCACTTCTACTTCTGAGATTTGAATTTAATTTCGACAGAAAAAGAGATTCAAGAGGAAAATACTAGGGGATACAAACAGCCACCATGACAGGATTATTATGGAGCCAAGTTGTATTTTTTGATATTTTTAGAGTTTTCCTACCTATTTAGGTACCAAGTTATTGCTTAAAAATTAAGGTTCTAAATTCTGAAGTTTACATGATCCTCCCGGGCGCACCCTTAAAGAAAATCAGGCCAAAAAAGAAGTTCAACCGCCTCCAGAGCAGTCTGAAATTGAAAAAATTGATGCCGCTATTGTCCAAATTCAAAGTGAGCTCACTAAGAAAGGAGTTGAATTGAATAGCATCCTTGATTCAGAGCATGAAATTATTAGAAAGAAAGAAGTCTATAACGCAGATGTTAACAAGTTACAAACTGATAACGAGCAATTGAAGACAGATAAAGAGAATCTGCAAAAACGAATTGAGGCATATGATGCTTTAGATAATTAATTATTTAAATAATTTTTATTATTATTAGTAATATTGATATTGAATTTTGTAGAGTTTTGAAGGTTTCAATTTTGAATGCAATTCAATTTTTTATAAATAACATATTGAAGAAATAATAAATATTTTGGTACGGCAACTCTATAAATATTGAATAAAAATTTTGTGAAACAAAAGTGACAACTTAATGTAAGGGTTTCGTTTTGCGAAAAAAACGTACAATACGCAATTTCGCTAAAAAAAACATTTAGCTAGCAATTTCGACCTTTGACTCCACTCAAGACGTCACTTTTTTAATTTTGCGGTATCATATTTTTGGAAAATCTTTATGAATATTATATAAAAAGTCTCTTTAATATCTATATTTCATATTTTTATCGATTTTTAAAGTTTTTGCGAAAAGTATTCAATTATTTTTGCTATTTGGTCGGGTAAATGTCAGATTTGCGACATTTTCTGATATGATATTCAGATTCTACGTTGATAATAATGCATATAGAACCCTCTTGCTATTGTGTCAAAATTGCGAAACCGATAGCAAAAATATCTCGCAATATCAAAATTGAGATATTGAGTGAATTATGCATTATAGAGATTAAAAATCTGATTTGTGAAAACATCTCATCAGTTTCTAGCTAATTCAAAAATCTTTACTATCTTATTCGATTAAAATGAAAAGGGAATAGTTTCATTATGCTTTAAATGACAGCCTTATAATATAATCATAGTTTTCGCTCAATATGCAGCATTTTTTTTTCGAAATCTATGGTCAATATCCTAAATACTGATTGCTTTGCATTCATATCTCTTACATTTTCTATACCCACATCACTATTCATTGCTATTCCTATCTTTTTCATTTTTGTTTGTTTCTCATAATTTCTCAAAAAACATGATAACTTGATATTTGTAAATATCATACTTTATAACGTAAATAAGAACTTGACCTATTAAGAAAAGCAGTAATGAAAAGAAAATCTGAAATTCATAAAAATTACAAGTTTCTGATGACAATTAGCTTAATTAAACCAGGTACAAGATTATATAATTGTATTTTCTATCCAATTATCCATATAATATCTTATCCAGAAAAAATAACTTGATCAATACCAAATGATTTTTTAACTAGTAAATAAAGTATTTTCTTTACACACACATTGTATATCATAGTTTTTTTTTTGGTTTCGCAAAACATCCAAAAACAAATATGCTATAAAAGTGACAATTTTAGCAAAACGAAACCCTTACTTAATGCTTTGTCAACAATCGAATATTCGGTACTTTCCTTCCTTAACAATAGTAAATTCAAAAGGAGAAAAAACGAAAGTTGATTTCGAAGATGGACAAAGACTTTTTGATGCAGTTGAAGGAACCAAGGCAGAATATATTCGTGGAGAATGCGGTGGCAATATGTCCTGCGGTCTATGCTTTGTCGAGGTACCCCCTAATGCTTTCAAACAGCCTGATGTTAAAGAAATGGATTTATTAGAAGAAACGGATGGTACTACAAAATACTCAAGACTTGCTTGTCAGTTAATTCTTGGACCTCAGTTCGAAGATGTCGAAATTCATGTACGTCAATAAGATTAAATAATTATATATGTTATAATTTTTATTTTTATAAAACTAAACAAGTACAAAAACATAAAATTAAGCCAGATCGATTAACACTTCTAATTGGGATTTTTAATGCTAGATAAGTATATTAGAAATGTTTAATTAAAAGGTCTCTTGATCCCAAAATGATAGATTGGTATTTTTCGTCTCAAAAGAAATATAATACTGATGAAAATTACCAAAAATACAGATCTGATTTTTTTTTTACACAAGTGAACTTCACTTTAAATTAATTAATTTCAGATGGATTTTATTACAAGCACATATTCATTTACTCATACTTTCAGAAGATTAAATGATGGTCCATTCAGTCAAGAAGATTCCAATGCAATATATCGCTGTATTGTTGAGGATAATGCAGATGAATTAGCATCAATTGTTTCAAACTATCAAAATGCCAGTATTCCTCTTCGCACTCCCACAGATTACAAGTACCCTGCTATAATATCTAGTAGCCCATATGCTATTCATATTGCGGCATTTATGGGTGCCGAAAACTGCTATGATTGTCTCATTAATATGAATGTCGATGAGGAAGTTTGCGATTCCTGTGGTCGAAATGTCCGTCATTTTGCTGCAGCTGGCGGGAAGATGTCAATCTTACGTAAATTCTCAAATTTTCAAGTTACAAAAGAACCTACTCCATTAAGAAGATATCCCTATTCATACGAACTTGATCCTATGATATATGCAATTGCATTTGGAAATCTTGATTGCATTAAGTACATGTGGTCCAAAGGCATTGATTTCTCAAGTGAGAACAGTCCTTATATTCATGCTGCATGTGCATCTGGCTCCATAGAAATTGTCAAATTTATTTATGATCAGTGTCCAAACTTTTTCCAAATTGTTGTACAATTCATCAATGATAAAAATGGTTTAATGTACGCTGCTTCCAGTGGCTCAGTTGACATTGTCAAATTTCTCATTAATTTGGATGTTAATCTCAACGAGATTGCGTCAAATGGCTACACTGCTATTGTTATTGCTGCCAGAGTTGGATCTCTCTCTTGTGTTCAAGCCCTTATTGAAGCCGGTGCCTCTTTCAACATTCGTAACAGGAAGTACAACTGCTTTGTCGAAGCTGCGACTCAAGGTCACTTAGACATTGTCAAGTACTTGATTGACCAAGGAGTCAACATCAATCTCAATACGAGCGATAACTACGACGCAATCACTTGTGCTGTTGAAGCCGGTAGAGTTTCAGTTATCAAATATCTGCTGATGAAAGGAGCATCATTCACTCCATATAAGGATACAATGGCAAAAACAACTCCAGAAGTATATGAACTTGTGAAGAACGAAATGGGCATAAAGGCGAAAACTGTTTCTATATTAGAGGCTGCTATTGGAATACATAATGTGAAGCTCATCAAACACTTATTAGAAAATTATGTAACGTTGAAAGACCTCTCCAAAGATAAAATTCAAGAGATATTTAATATACAGCATTATTACTTCAGAGGAAGATTTAACCATCATGATATTTTCAAGGAAGTCTGCAGAACAAAAGGCTTTTTATCAGCGAAATCTGATGAAAAGAATAATCCGATCAAATACTGTACGAACGAAAAGCAGCTAACAACCCTTCTCGAATTGGGATTCAAGCTTTCTCAGCAGGCCATCATTGATGGAAAGATGATTGAAAATTCTATCACTAAGTACAGAAATTACAAAATTGTTAAAACACTACTTGATTTTGTTGATGATGTAGAATCACTAGATCAAAGCGCGATCCTAAATGAACTCATTTCAAGATACAATCAAATTGATGATGAATTCAAGAAAATGAATGAGTATATTATTAATAAGTTCAGAAACCATATCAAAAATTTCAAATTGGTAAGCAATCAATTGTTTAGATATCCATATTTTGAGGTAATTTACGATGCCATGAATGAAAGCGATAGACAAAACATATTCTCATTGACAAACAAAAGTCTCTCTTATGATTGCCTCAGCAATTACGAGTATATGCTCAATAACGGATTTGATGCGACAGAAACAGATGAAGAGGGAAACTGCATTCTTCACTATCTACATCATGCGAAGTTTAATTTGGTGGAAGAATGTAAGAAGGTCATTGACTTGTTCATTGCACATGGATGTGATATCAATCAAAAGAACTTAGAAGGATTAAGTCCCATACAACTTGTAAAGGATATAAATGTGTTGCAAGCTTTGCTTGAATATGGAGCAGATCCAAATTCTGAAGATTCAAATGGTGTCATAGTTTTGCATAGAAAATGCGGATTTGATAGAGCTAAAATTAATTTTCACAATGTAATCTTTGGCCGTTTTAATAGAACAAATCTGTATGCTGTGAAACTTCTGCTAGATTATGGAGCAGATTTGGATAAAAAGACAAAGCTTAAAGAACCTCCATTGTACTTTTGTATCCAAAATTCCCCGGAAATCGCACTTTACCTCATTCAGCATGGAGCTAAGGTGAGTGAGTTCCCTGGCGGAAGTGCGATTTGTCTAGCACGGGCAAGAGAAATTGATAGCTCTCACCCTGATACTTTGAAAGATTTAATAGATGTCATTACTTCTAAACTTTAAATTTTTATTATTTTGATAATTTCTACCCTTTTTTATATCATAAAATATCTAAACCTATGGGTTTCGATCTCAAATGGAAGCTAAAATAGTTTAGTGAATCATTTAGTTGGAGAAATAAATGGATTAAAAGGGTTCTCTTTATTGGAATGTTTAATAAATTTATTACAACATCTAAAAAACTTATAGGAAAATTCTTATATCAATTTATTCTAAAATGAAATTGTGCATATAATGAATATTTCAATATCAAAAGGATGCAAGTCTTCCGCCGTGAGAAAAGGTAATTTATGAGTATCGAGCCTTATAATATTTTACAGATTTGGAAGTGAATTTTGTACATTTACAATAATGTATATATCAATTATATAATACAAATTATTCCAAAAAAAAAAAAATTGTTGAAAATCAAAGATTGAGATATTACATTAAAATTCATTTCAACTGATTCTACTGGCATATCTCATTAGATGAAATGGATCTGTTGCGAAAATAAATTTTTGAAATCAAAAAAAAAAGTACAGTTAGAAATCATCAAATTATTTAATAAAAAACATTTAACACTATGTTTGTAGTTAATTGTATTATCTTCAAAAATCAAATGTGTACGCAATCATTCAAAATCAGAATATTTTCTATATGAATTTTCAATTTTGAATAAAAAGAGAATTTGAGGTAATTAATATAAATAATAAAGGATTGATAAGATTATGTCAAGATAAAAATTGAAAAGAAAAAATCATATCTGGATTGAAATATTAAACCTATGGTAAGGATCATAATTTATTTTAAAAAAAAGCTAAATTTTGAATACATTTTTTTGAATGATCAAAATTCAATGGATTTTTTTTAATGGGAAAAAAAAGTTCTTGAAAGAAAAACTAGGATAATATATTTTATACATAAATGTATATGGGAAAAATTATTGTCATGATATGATTATTTTGTCGGTCAATATTTTGAATGATTTAATTTTTGCATTCAAAATTTTTCAATTTTTTATTTTTGATCTCAATTCTACATTTGTAAAAAATATTTTAAGGACCCAAATTTGTATCTCTGAATACTAAATATTATTACGATGTTTAATTTTTTAAATCGAAAAAAAACTGTAGCCTGTATTAAAAAAATTATTATGCAAATATCTTTTTTCATTCTTATGAATGGGAGTGATTGTAATTCTTTTTAATCAGCCAAATATTTTCAAAGAGAGTATTCAAAAGAGATAAATTTTATCTCATTGTGATGAAAGCTTATATTGTACGCTTCAAGCAGATATTCAACTTTTATGTACTATTTGATGAACCTAAAACAGTAGCCCAAGTTAAAGAAGAACTCTCTAATCAAATTGATGAACCTGCGTTCAACATGAACATCATTTTTAATGGGAAAATACTAAATGATGAGGTGGATCTTCATTCGTACAGAATTTATCATTCAAGTGTCCTTTATTTGCATATATCTCACTATGAAAACTTTGTTCTCAACGATTCTAAAATGATTTTGAATGATACAAGTTCATATTTTCAGAATATGGATGCTTTATCAGATAATGTTCGACTTAATACAGTTCGAGAAATGAAGCGTAACTTAAATTCCAATATAATCAAAGCGATGATCAAAGTTTTTCCCGATGCTCAAAGTATGATCGATGATTTTCTAGAAGCTGTTCAAATCATTGAATATAATAATGATCTTGCTTATTTACGAAACTTTGCACTAATTCATGATACCTCATTTTTAAATTATGAGAAACCAGCAACAGATTTCAAGCAATGTGTTTCAATATGTTGTTCTTCAGTGTCATTATATGGACATAATGATGAAAATTTCAAACATGAATCCGATTCTGAAGATGAAGATGAAATTATAGATGAACCCCTCAATCTGGAATACGAAAGGTCTTTGAATTCATCACCTTTGGTTAATATTTTTTATGATATTGTTTTTTAAGTAAAATAATACCATGATATTTTTTTGAAAAAAAAATTTAAATTCCGGAATTAACTGAACGTATTCTCCTCAGAATCAACTAATTTGTTTTAAAATCATAAAATATAAACTGCATGAATAAAATGTTTTATTTAGAACAATAAATAGAAAAATTGTTATCTGAAATATAAGGTACTGGAAGAGGGTCAGTACTTATTTTTGGAGTATAGTTTGTATATGTAATACGAAATTCTTCTGAAATGCACTCGCAATCACTTCCAAAGTCTTCGTATTGCAGTGAATCATCTGTTAGGAAATCGCTAATAGATATGGTTTCTGATTCAGTAGAATGAAGTGTGTATGAATCATCAAAATCTGAATTTAAAAAAGTATCATCTTGAATTTTTGCAATTGTGCGTACAAGAGATGGATTCATAGGGAGTTCAATATTGTTAAGGTACTGATCTATTTGCGAAAACATGGTTTGAAGTTCTGGGATAAGTTTGAGAAGTGGTGCAATCATAGGAGAATCCATTGAATTTCTAATAGTATCTATTGCATCTGTGATCATTTCAGGAGGCATTGAATGTATATTCATAAATATTGAAAATATTTCTGTTATAAGTTTTCGCGGGGTACGAATAATGAGATCTTGATTTTTTGAAATATAAAGATGTAGAATTGAGCCATTCTTGCATCCAATATCAGAAAGATAGATATTGTCTTCTACAATACTACCATTATAGATTAATACCATCTTTGTTGATAAAACCTGAGTTTGTTGAAAGATTTCTTCCTTAACATCACTCGCAGTTAGAGAGTGGTTAAAAGCAACATAGAAATCAAATCCGTGTTGCATGCGAACTATGTATGCGTTCATGTTTGAGAAGAAGTGTTAACAACAAAAATTTGAAAACCTATTCAGAATTATTGAATGGAAATTCGTATTGTATGTATTTGATATGTAAATATATTTTAGCATAATAATAATTCGACAACACGAAATTGTAAAAATTTGAATCGAAAAATTCAGGAACGTAAAAAACGTGCTTTTTGGAAAAAAAGATGTATCTAAATAATGAATATTTTTTATGTCGTTTGGAAATTTTGAAATGAATTGCCTATTCAAAAGTAAATTGTTGAGACTTTGAATTGATTTTACAATACCTCTGAAAGAAATTTTGTTAGTATAAATTCTCATAATAAGGAAATAAAACAACGAATTTCAGTTAAGTAATTGAAAATATTATCAATTTTTGTGAAACTCTAACAAAAGTTGGAAATTTTGAATTTTTGCTTCTTCCCAAACATATGCTACTGGATATAAAATTAAAGTAAATTTATTCGATTAAATCAGAAAAATATATGTTTTCCCTAACTGAATTATAATTCTAATGAATTCTAATAAGAATAGGCATATGTTCTGGTTAGTTCAAAAGCATATGTCAATCATGTTCCTTTTTTTTTGAAATTATTTCATTAAAATAAAAGGTGACCAAACTATTTTTTGAAAGTCCGCCATAACTTTAATGGTACTATTTCAGCGTGTACAATGAATACAAAAATTCTAAGAGTGCCACATAAAATAGTACTTTAGACTTGAGTTAATGCTACCAAGCAAATGTTAAAAAGATGACTTTAGTGTTTTGATAATCAAAGATTAAAATCATTATTGTCTAAATCAATAATCATAACGACAGAAGTTAATGTTTTTTCATCAGTGCTTTAAATCCACTTTTAAAAGTATACCTCAAAAATCAAAATATCAAAAAAAATTGGCCGATAGGTTTGGCTTTAATTTTTGTCTGCTTTTATGATTTGATATGGATGTTATAATTTTAAAAGTTGAGCCAAATTCACCAATAGATTTTTGAGATTTGCAAATACTCAATAATTTTCAGCGTGTTATCTTTTATTAAAAGAACTATTTGGTTTCAGTATCATATAAATTGATATTTACTTTCTATTTGAACCTTCATTTAGCTAATGATTTAATAATACAGATTTCATCTAGTCCTTATAAGAGAATTTTGAATTTGTTATAATAAAAAAACAAACAGATATAGCTTACACTTCTATAATAAAGATACCTTTTATAGAAATCAGTATGAAATGTGTTTTGGCTTATTGGAAGCATATCAGACATAATCGCCATAATCAAAAATCTATATACCCAATAAGTAATAAATTTGTCGATATAGATTTTCCATAAAATTAGTTTTTAGTCTGATCTTAAAATAAATTTAATTTTTTATAAAAAAAATCACATTTATAAGTACTTTTTTAGTAGCTCGAAATCCTGTTGGTGGATTTGGGGCGTACTTCAAAATTAGCTTTTCTTCTACATATGCAAGCTATATTTTAAATATGGGGCAAATCGGATCGGCGAAAGGAGTTTAGTTACCTTTTTAAAATATAATTTGATTGAAATTGATAATGTGATACCTTTACCTCATGATTACCAGCTTTAAAAACAAAATCAAAATAGAAAATACTTTGAATGTATCAAATCACTTGCTCTCTGGATAAAAATTTGAAGCCAGATAACTTTAGATATATTAATTTATAAATGTGCATTAATATACTGAGAACTAAAAAAAATCGATCAAATTCTTGAAATATTCCCTTCAGTATATATAATTTTTGAAATATTCCTATAGAATTAGAGAAACCGGATCGAACCATTTGTCAATGAATAGTGAATGTTTATTTTTTTTTTTAATCAATGAAATTGAGTAAAAGTCCCCTTTTATTATCAGAACCTCTTTGCTTGAGAGCAACAGGAGCTGGGATAGAAGAAATAGACCTGTTAGGTTCAGACAAAATTAATTCTTTAGCTTTATACATTTCATCAAATAAGATTAAAACAATTGAAAACATAGTTCAATTCAAACATTTGCAAACATTTCTTGCAGAAAACAATTTGATACAATATCTCGAAGATTTAAAACCATTATCAGAATTGCATAATCTTAAAATTATTAGACTTGAAGGAAATCCTCTTATGGATACTCCATATTGGGCATTTTACCTTATATATATTTGCCCATCACTTGTATCCATCAATGGGGAAAAAATTTCTAGCATATTAGGAAATTATTCTTTAAAAGATATTAAAAATCATTTTTTGAACGAAGAGATAAAAATGGACTTCATATCTCAACTTCTATTTCTATCTCAACTTATACAATCAGGAAAATACCCACTCAAAAGTCCTTATTCTACAGAATTTAATAAGCTAATGCCAAAAGAAAGATTATATCATTTATACAGAGAAATACGTAGCAATGGTCCAAGTCATTCGCTGAGGTCCTATAGAAAATATATAAATCAATTAGCGCTAAAGCGAGCAGAGCAGCTAATTGATATGGCTGAAGAAAATGGTCTTCCTGGAGATCTATTGCAAGAGCTTTCAGCATGTACTGCTGATTGTTCAAAATTTTTATCAATTCTGAAAAATTTCTTAGCTCCTCAAGGAGATGATGTTGACATTAAGAAAGCATCTTCTGTTAGTTCCTTCAAGCTTGGAAACACTGCTGTGTCCGTATTAAGCATGATGAGATTTAAATCTCCTGAAGACAATGATAAATCGTCCAGACGAAGTTATATTTCTGGTTCTCCGGCCAAAAGGTATGATACTGGCAAAAATAACTCAAACTCAGATATCAATAAACAAATCCAAACAGAAAATAGTAGTACACCGCTCATTAACAAGCAACCTAGTATCACTGTAACTGAAAGTACTAATAATCCTACCGAAAATCTCGAGGATGAGAAATCTGAACTACAAACAAAAGATCTAGAAATCAATTCTAAGAACGACATTAAAAGTTCAGATGTAAATGACCATAGTAGTGCAAGTACAAACAAAATTGAAAATGAAGATGCTATTATTGAAGTAAGTTCACTTAATTTAACGCCTTCCACTTACATAAGGCCAATTCTTAACGAAAGAACTTTATTCAATGCTTGGGCAGCATGGAAATCGAAAGTTAAATCCAGAGCAAAAGTAGATGCAACACAAATGATAGAAAATCCAAACTCGATTTCGAAAGAGTTCTCTTCAATAGAGAATCAATTAGATGTAAGAGATGGGGTAGCATACTTGATGAGAAAACATGCCTTGATGATGGATATAGAACGAAATACTGCAATAAACCAAGCGATGCATTTGAGAAAAAAGCGGTTTTCAAACGAAATGGAGATAAGATCTCCTAAGCATTTGTATTAGAATACATTATCATTGCTATACTTGTGAACATTTTGATTGTTTTAAGATTTATAAAAGACATTTTTATTATTTTGAAGAAAAAATCTGTATACTGTTGAATGTATTTTAATGTGTATTTGATATTTCTTCTGTATGAATGCTGAAGGAGCCTTTGATACAAATGAATCTTGAATAAGTTGACTTGAAAGAGGAATTAAGGGATATTGATATGATTACAGAAATGTAATTTTGATCTATAGTATCTGTACGCATGCATGGAGCCTTTATATCAATTAATGGCGGAACAATCAAATAGGATGTGTTGCTTTGCAAATATTTTGAGGTCAGAATCTCAGAGAACAAGTTAAAATGAAGTTCCATGAGATTTTGAAAATCTAAAAAAATCGCAAATCAACTAATATGAACCGAAATATCAGCAAACTTCAATTGAAAATTTAAAATTCGAATTTTTTTTTAGAAAATAATCTTTTTGAATAAGAAAATTATTGATTTTTAAACAATCAATTGGTATTTAGATAAAATAAATCAGCAAAATGAAATATAATTTAAATTTAAAAATATTTCCCTCATTGAAATTAATAATTAGTTTGAATTCATTTTTTTAAAAAATATATTTACATTACCAAAAGTTTTACAATGTAAATATTGTTACACAATGGGGGTCGTAGTGATTTTTCAGATTTTCTTAACGTGCAAGAATGAAATCAAATGTCGATGCATTATATGAATTTAAATGATATAGAAAGAATTTGGTTCTTTTTTTTTAAAGAACCATCTATAGTCAATAAGAAATCAACCATGATCTTATTGTACCAAACTATAGTCAATAAGCAGAGTATCAAACTTCAAAGCTAAAAAAAAATCCAATTACTAAAATAATATTCAATATCAATCAATTTTATTGAGCTGGAGCAGCTGGTGGGACTGTGACAGATGGATACTTGCCCTTTGAAGCTTCCCAGTTGTAAGCTGGCTTTTCGATGATAGCCTTATGTTGTTCGCTTGTAAGCTCACAGATGTAGAATTGATAAACTTCAAAGATCTGATCAATCTTCTGCTGGCAATCTGCAAAGTATGCGTTAGCAACATTCATGAACTCCTGTTGTTGTGTCTGGTAGCTGGCAGAGTATTGATCAACTTCTTTCTGCTTATCAGCAACCTTCTTATCCTTGCCCTTTGTTTGAGCCTTAGCAAGTGACTTCTTAGCATCCTCAAGAAGAATGTAGTCCTTCTTACGGGCATCAAAGGCTATTCTAACCTTATGAAGTTCTGTCTTGAGAGCAAGAGCAAGGTTCTCAATTTGTTGCTTAGCATATTCATCATTGAAAGCTTTAGCATTGTTGAAAACAGCCTCAGATGATTGGAAGCAAGCAGAGACTTCATTGTACTTTGGACTCTCATTTGTATAAAGTTGGAAAAGATTTCCATGAGCAGAGTGCTGATATGTAGCAAATTCGTAGTATGTTCTCTTGAGCTTCTGAACATTTGTGATAAGTTCATCGAGATTCTTGTTTTGAGCTTCAACTCTCTGCCAGATCTTTTTGGTTTCTGGATCTTCTTCAATCTTAGAATGTCCGGTAGTTTCCTGAACAGAATGAGCAGCAAGCTTCATCTGAACCTTAGCTTTGTTGAGGAAGTTCTTCATAACAAAAAGAAAAATGAAATTCACCTCACTTTGCTGGAAATCTCAAATTTTGTGAAAGTGGTTTCAGAGAAAACATATCGTCTTTTTATGAAACACTATTCAAATATTTTATATCTGTCTCTGCGAATTCATCTATGATTTCATACTGAGTACGAAAACAATAAATCCGAATTATTTTACATCGTTGAACAATATAAAATGGAAAATACTGTAAATTTTGTATAATGAATAATTTATCGAAAAAATATACCCAAAATTTTGAAAGCTTCATAAATTCTCAAAATTTAACAACCCTCATAAAAGATGACATAATTTATATAAATATACTAATATAAAATTTCGTGATAGTTTTATTTCTGAGTGATAAAATTCACCTCATTTCAATGGATGGCCGGGTACAAATATGAAGAATAATTAGTTCACAATCGAAAATTCAATTCCTTGTGAGCATATTAGCAAGTCAAATCAATAATTAGAGCGCAAAAGTTCATATTTTTTAGAGATCATTGCTTTAATCTACATTTACTGACCAACATTTAAATATTTGATCTTTAATTCTTATTTTATATGATTTTCCTTAGTTAATTAACAATTGCTTTTAATGATTTCTACCCTATATTTCCAACTCTTGGAAAATTTTCATGACCCCCTACCCAGGGTCCTAAAATGGGTATTTTCCTCACACAGACACCGTGGTTTTTTGAGCCGGGAAATAAATAGCGCAGACAGTTTCTACATATAGAGACATGCTTATACTTAGAGTTTGACGGGAATCTAAAGTGATTTTTTTCTGCATCGCGAAATCTAATGCAATCTCAAAATCATGAAGAAACTGCGAATCGGAGCGCAATTTTTTAATATGTTAATATATAAAGGTACCCCTACTACTGCAAATGCTTCAAATGAAAATCTAAGAAATCAGATTAATTTGATCACATTAGTATAGTATTGGTCAAACCAAAAACTCATATGTTGATATATAGCCTATAGATATTCATATTATCTACTTTTCATTGAATTACATAAGATTTAATAATCTCATAAATATTCTTTTTAATTTTCCGAATTCCGTATGCATTTAGATTGCCCATACCTGTATATAATAATTCTAGAATGGTTTGGTTAGATATTAAGTTTTTTAGATTAATATTTTAACATTTTGATAAAACAAGCATTTGTTCCATTTTAGAATCGCCATTGAACTCTAGTTTGACTAACATGATGTTGTATGATCAAATAAATTCTAACTTCATGAGATAAATTTTGAAATTAGAAAATGCGATATCTGACTCAAATATTTATCTGAACACATTTAACATTCAATGATAAACTAAAGTACTATACAGCAGATTCGATTTGGCTTATATTTTATATAATCAACAAATAATCCTATAAAATTGTGCTATTCACGTTGCTCAAAGATGTATTGAACATTCCCTACTTGTGTATTGATAAAATTAGATATAGATTCTAATGTAAATCGATATTTTGAAAATTCATATATATTTTGTCTTGGTTTGGCATTTGATCGTGTTGAAACCGGAATTGCAATATATATCATCTAAATATATAACTATCAAAATATGAGCTATAGATTTTTAAATTATTCTCCTGAATATGAGTGACTAACATAATTATATTGAATTGAGTAGTAAGAATCATAAATATTAGAATCTGACGATAATTTATTATAACTTTATATAGGAACAAGATTATAAATGATGATGAAAATAAAGATTAAATTTAAATCTGAAAATTTGAAAACATTAAGTGTATATGATAGCATTACAAAATTAAATTTTATGTGGAAGAGGAAATAGAGGAATTAGAAGTATTATGAGAAAATAATAAGATATAAAAACAAGATTCTATTAAATGAGTTAATTTATAGAAAGGAATAACAGTGTGAATGTAGTAAATGAATGTTTTCATGATGTATTATTGAAATCTTAAGTTTTGTTAAGAAGATAATAAGGGAATCAAATTTTGTATTAGGAAGTTTGACCGACAAGAGTGTATTGTGCACTCTTGTCGGTCTGCATGTCTCATTCCGGGAGACATTGTCACTGCATGTCTCCCAGAATGAGACAATCTTCCGCATTCATAACTTGAATGCGGAAGTTTGACCGACAAGAGTGTATTGTGCACTCTTGTCGATCTAAATGTATCTTACAATCAAAGACACTTTCATACAATCTTTTCGAAGTTAAAAAAAATTTAATTATTTCTTTCTTATTTAGTTATGAACCTGAAGAGAAATTTTAAGGAAAATATTAAGTTGTGCAATTTGCATCTATCTCTTTATGTGATGCATATTTTCACGATCTGACAGCAGAAATCGAATCAGCGGAGCCAGAAGAATCAGATTACGTGTGGAAAATAGGTTTTGAACGCTTAGATAGGACTAAAATGAGACTTTATGAGATGTGTTGTATAATTATAGTTTTTGCGATAATGTGTCATGAGATCAGAATATGAAGAGAGTAAATATGTATTATTGTCACAGGTTTATATGTGGGGATAGCTCGATAGAGTCTCTAAAAGAGATTAGTACGTGAGTAAGGCGATTTAATAAACAAAAGAAAGAAATAATTAAATTTTTTTTTAACTTCGAAAAGATTGTATGAAAGTGTCTTTGATTGTAAGATACATTTAGATCGACAAGAGTGTATTGTGCACTCTTGTCGGTCGAAGTTTTGCAATCGCGTTGTGATTGCAAAAGATTGTGCTATTCCTGCATATTTCCTACGAGCCTGCTTCATAAAATTGAATCCTTCTATCCAATTTAAATGCGATTTCGCTAATCTTTCATCTAAAATCACTAATCAGAAGCATATTGCAAGTTAACTTGAACCGGCATGTTCCTCCTATCCTGTCTCCCAGGTGTATCTGTCAGGCAAAGTTCACAAGGAGGAGAGCTTTGCGCACAATCAGACATAAGATTGCGGCAGAGGAACCGGGCAGAGAGCAGCTTGAAGCGGTAAGCTGTTTTCAAGTCTTTAGTTAACAAACTTTAACAAAAGACATCTAAAAAATTTGAAATAATTGCAAAATAATGCCGTCAGGTAATGCGCACCTAAGGGAGGTGTTTTGCGGGAGCTGGGGGTATCTTGGTGAGTACTCAGGAGGCCAAGAAGGGCACCCCAACCGACATTTTGCTGACGCATTGTGTAAGCAACCATTCTGATAACCGCTCAAACCGTCGGGACAAAATAATTTATGAAATTATAAGTCATCTTTCTAATACATATTTTTGGAAGGGCATAAGATACGCCAACTTAAATATATTATTAAATATGAGAAAATCACTCAACAAAAAAACAATTCTTTCAAAAAGTTTAAAATTTATCTTTCTAATACATACTTTTGGAAGGGCGTGAGATACGCCAACTTAAATATATTATTAAATATGAGAAAATCGCTCAACAAAAAAACAATTCTTTCAAAAAGTTTGACATTGATCTTTCTAATACATATCCTATGGAAGGAGTTTACATTCACAAAATAAAAACCAGTTCAAAATCTTATTACTCCTTGAATTAAAATCATTTAATTTCAAATCCATTCCAAATCCTTAAATCTGTATTAAAATCATTTTGCCAACAACCAACACAATACAAATTACATTTCCATATATCTTCTTGTCCATTTTAATTTTTTATCTCATTTTATTTAATTTTATTTAAAGCATATAGACATCGAGATCCTTTACACATAGTTATATAAAAGTCAAATACATAATAAATTCTTAATTCTAGAGATATCTCAAAATCTCGATTTTTTAATTTAAAATACCTTTCATTTTTCACAGTACTATCACAACAAACAAGCCATTTACTAATTAACACATATAAGAAAAATATCAAATTACAAAACAACTTTCAATATCATTCGCATCGAATTCTATTTTTTCATAATTATCAACTACATATTATTATATAATATATGTCGGCGCATATTCCACTCTATACAAGTGTCAGACACACTCACACAAAGCTGTGAGATTCACACCTCTATCAGTAGGACTTCTCAAATCAAGAACACATATGTTTCACTATCGCACATCTGTGTAGGATCTAATTAACCCTTTGGACTGGTACTTCAAAATTTGATAATTTGATAATTTCATGTGATATCATCATTTGCCTTTAAAACAACTGTGCGTTAAACTAGACACGTTTCTCTATCATAATGCAAAATATCAAAGTTTGGGAGACTCCCAAAGTGTCTGAAACTGATCATAAGGGTGAAAAACCGTTTTCCAGAAGTTGGGAACGTAGGGTATCTCGATTTTCAGATGCTTTCAGGATACTTAATACAGTCTAGATATATCCTATAGTTATGATAAGCTATTTGAGCTATTACGTATTTTTTAAATTAGTTCAATATCAATATAAAAAAGTTTTTAATTCTATATTTGTCTAAGGTTAAATATTAGAATACCAGCTTTTCAATGATGATATGAATGCTGATAACAAAATTTCTTGGGACATTGAGGTCAGGAAAAATTGCTTGACATTATACCAATCTAATATTAAATTCGTTTCCTGAATATCCTCGTTTGAAGTAATTTGAAAATATAAGAACAAAATCAAAAATATGAAGTAATATGATATTTTTGTCGAAAAATACATGTATTGAAATCAAATAATATCAATATATATTGCTATATTGAATAGTGAGTATTGAATGAGGTCATTAGCATACTGAATCATATTTTGTAAAGTTCATGGCCAAGTGAAGCGATATAAAAATGAAAAGCTAAAATAATTTTAAACGACTACTTTTTGGGTCCATGAATATTACGAATGGATGTATATTAACTATGTCATAAATCAATATTTTGCATCGGAAATATGAAATAACAATGAAATCCACAATTCATGATTATTCAACATTTAGACCTCGCAAAGATGGTAATCAAGATTAAAATCGGTGTCACTTTAGAAATCAACAAAGTATCTGTCGAAAAGTAAGTATTTCGTTTATAGTAATTTGTGAAGTGTACCAGTCCGGACCGGTACGGCCATTTGTCGTACATGTCTAGCGAACGCGAACTCAAGTTCTTCATGGCCCGCGTTGCCGACCAGGCCGAGCGCCATCAGGACGTCATCACATACATCAAGGAAATCATTGATCTCGATGCAAAACTCTCCTTAGACGAGCGTAATTTATTATCTGTTGCTTACAAGGCACTCACCGGCAACCGCCGTACTGCCCTCCGTAGTGTCAACGCCTTCCTTGAAGACCCATCAATCCAGGGTGCCAAGGAGCGTGAGAACCGCCTTATTGAACTTCGCAATTCACTTGTCAAAGAGCTTGATAACTATTGCAACGAAATCGTTCAACTTGTCGATGAGAAGCTTCTTCCAGCTGCCGATGATGCAGTTTCTAAAGTTTTCTACTGGAAGCTCAAGGCAGATTACTTCCGCTATTCTGTTGAATTCAAGGATGAAGCCGCACGTGCACAAGGCTCTGAAGCTGCCAAGAAATCATACGAGGAGGCTATGAACCTCGCTAAGGATCTCTCCAAGGCCAACCCACAGTATCTCGGCCTTGCTCTTAACTATTCTGTCTTCCTTTATGAAATCATCGGCCAGAAGAATGAGGCTATTGAACTTGCTGACAAGTCATTCAAGGAGGCTGTCGGCCTTATCGACAAGCTTGAAGAAGATGAGTACAGTGAGGCTACACTTATCCTTCAGCTTCTTAAGGATAACGTCCAGCTTTGGACCGATGATCAGAACGCCGAGTAAATTTTTAACTTGCTACTAATTTCTTATTCCAAAATATTAAATATCAATTTTTTTGCATATTTTAAATTGAGAAATGTTTTCTTTCAATGCGGAATAACTCTTGATTCTTATATTAAAGACTCAAGCAAAGAACAAAATTTAGATGTAAAGATTCTGCTTACAATCCGAATTTACAACTAAATTTATATACAAAGACGTAAATTATTCATTTTATAAGAAATTAAAAAATTTCGAAAAAAAAATTCACAAAATTTATGAGTGAGATTACAATTAATCAAACAAATGCAGTTTCAATGGTTGAAGAATGCGCCAAATGCATGCAGTTAGAAATGTGGCCACAGTTTAAAAGCCTATTTAGACAGTTGAATCAGTATTATATTACAAATTATAAAAATAAGACTGAAGAAGATAACTTTTCAAGAATTTGGATAGCTCTAAAATCACTTTCTATCGATAACATCTTGAATAAAGTTCAGGATTGTGCAGAATTTGATGATTATATGAATTATCTTAAGCAAATTTCCGATTTAATTGATGATCCTGAGCATTTATGGGAAATTTTGCATACAGAAATACATACCATATTCAAAGCAACTCCTAAACAAGCAAAAATCATCGCATCTACATTGTTTACTCCAATTCAATTATTTTATTATAGTCTTTCTCCTTTTCTTGATTCAGAATTATGCGATCTCACAAACATTACAACAGAAGATGCTGCAATTGACAGATTCTATGCTCTAGTTGGATTTGTTCGATCTTGTGGAATAACGAACAAAGATAAAGTCCCCGAGAAATACTCTCAATATATTGGGAAATTACTTCAAATATATGTTTCATTACCAGAATTCTCTCCACGGAAATTTGTATGGCTTGTTGAAAATATTAATTCTCATTTATTTTTGAAAATAGAAGTTTTACAAGAGTTATGCTCATCAGCAATTGAAACATTTGCTAAAAAGGATATGCAAGTTCTTGAAAAAATTAAGTATTTAGGAATTTTCTCAACTTCACCAGTCATGAACAAAATGCCAGTTCTTCACAAACACCTCACAGATACATTTAGTCAGACAGTTGATTTCTACAGATTTTTCATAGATAAGTATATAGTACCTGGATATGCTGATTTGAAGTGGGACGGTAAAGAAACAGGCCTTCCATCAGATCCAGTCAGGTGCTGGGCTATGTATATTAACAATGTTCTGACTAGTTCCAAGGACTGTCCTGTCAAGAGGAGATCAATTGAGGTAGTTATCGACCTCTCGCTCAAGTTTGCTACCGACTACTACGGCGAGATCCAGCCAAATCTGGAGAAGTCCCATGATGTACGTAGAGATATATTTTTCATTGTTAAAAATTTGTTGAGTTGGAAATTAAACTTGCTTCCAACTACATACCACAGCATTTGGATGCTACTACTTATAGCTGCAATTCTTGGTGCAGAACAGACAATTATTGTTAACCAACCGCAACCAACTCCTTCGGAAACATCAATACTTCTTGGATTGGAAATAGATGATAAGTACTGCGATTTCATAGATTATAAGCAGGCGTTTTCTGTGCTACTTGGAAAATTTGAGGCAGAAAAAGATTCAATTCCGGGAATGATTCAATATTTACGAGAAAACTTTAAATAAAATGTTTGTTTGACATAATAATATGAGATAACTGCTTAATTTATTATTTTTTCAATAGATATTTTTTTGAAAAAAATTCTTTCTTTACAAATGAACTAATTTTTGTGCATGGAAACATAAAACATACGAATGTCAATATAAAATGCATGTTTAATTAAAAAAAAATTACATGATAATTTCTTATTTCATGGTATAAGACTATTAATCATTATATCATTGTGTGCATGAACCAACATATGACATGATAAATCTGTCATCGTTGAGAATATGCTCATAGTCCATTATTGTGAACAAAGCATCAAACAAATGAGGTTGTTTTTCACATGAAACAGCGGAACCGAGACTCTCTTTAGAACAAGAATCATTTTCCAATTCTTCAGATTCACTCAATTTCTTAGCAATTCGAAACTTTTTATTTTGTTTTCTTATGAGAGTTTGCCATCGGTTTCTGATCATGTTTCCTGTTCTTCCCTTGAAACATCTTGCAATTGCGTTCCATTTATTTTCATGTATGTCAAATTGCTTGAGAATCATTTCATCTTCTTCAGGAGTGAAATCTTTGTGATTAATCTTTGGACACAAATAGTTTTGATATCTCTCTCTGCATTGTCTTGGAGTTCTTGTTTGCATAATGTTTGAAATTTCTCTCCAATTTGGAGATCTTCCTGCTTCCTGAACCAATTTAAGCAATTTACGATCTTCTCTAGGAGTAAATTTTGATCTTGACCCTGCATCATCATAGGGCGTATGACCATTTGGAAGCAGTCTATCCATTATAATAAAATGGACGATTTATCCAAATTAAGAGGCAACCAAATATAATTGAGGGAACATTTGTTGATTTTTGTGAAATCCTTTGAATTGTAGTAAAATTTTGAATACTTGAATACTTATTGAATCTATATTAATATATTATATTATATAAATATATATAGAGTATAAATATAATAAAATTAGGTTTTGAATGGAAAATTATCATTTTTGCGAAATAATATTATAATATCAGTTTACAATATTTTTAGAAAATTACGTTTTATTCTTAAAAAATTGAATATAAGTATTAAAAATGTATAAAATAGTACAGCTTTAGTGATGGGAAAAATACCGATATTTATTCAAAATTATACTTTTTATAATCAAAGTTTTCCTGTTTTGTTACAAACCGTCATTCCTTATCAAAAAATAAAATTAATATCGGTTTTTCAGAAAATTGTTTACTGGATAACATCACATTTCTATTGGCCATTCTGTAACTTACAAATGTTCATTTTCACTGAAGACTAGGTTCTCTATAATATATCTAATTTTAAATAAACGTTACGCCCTTAATTAACAAAAAGTGAAATTTCCGATAAATTGATTAATTGTAACAAGCAAAACAGCTTGACGAATGATGAAATTGGTCAGCCAACAAACTTTCACTCAAATATTTTCAGTTTTGAAAGCTTTTGAATTGCAGATTTTATTTTGAATTTATGTTTTTCTTCTTTGTAAAGCATGCATGAGATTGATGGATGAGACAAGTTCCGATGACTTTCGAAAAATCTAAAATTCCAACAATTTATAGAATCAATATCAAGTTTATTAACAAATATATTTAAATGAATTTCCCTTTCAGACATGTCTTAGTGAGACCATAAATTGCAGAGTATATTAAAAATTAAACATTTCCAATGATAATATTTTGTATTTCATTTATACTCCCATTAATAATTTGCTTTAACTAAGCTAATATAATCAGAGAATCTAAAACATTATTGAAATTGACCTTTAAAAAAAAAAAAATTGTGGATGTAAATTGTATCAAAGGAAAATATATTCATACACCAAATTTGAGATACACAAGAGTTTTCAATACCTATCTATAATTCTATCGAATTATTTAGCAAAATTATTGTTCACTGAGGGTTAAACCACCTCCAACCTACTTATTTTTAATATTCTATTATACTATTTAACAAATGCTAAACATCCAATTTGAACAAATCAAATCCATGTGAATCGGCCTATCTTACAATATCTCAAAAGCTTATCATTATAAATTTATGTTTTATTTAAATAATACAATTTAATACTAATTTAAATCCAATTCACTTGAAAATATTGCATCAAATCCTATATTCAGATGTTGACGTTAAAATTCACAATAATTTTGTTGTACAAATAAGCATTTACGTAATGAAAATTGATTATGATAACTTATGGAGTCCAGAAGTACCTAATGAAACGGGATTCAAATTAGGAATATTTTCAGAAGTTTAAATCTATTTAAAAAACTGCTGGAAATAATAATAATCTAAATAATACTTAATAAATACATGTGATGAATCGATTTCTTTGACAAAATAACTTTAACTGCTATAGACACGCAAATTGAACACAATTCTATGGTTGAAAAACTCATCAGTAAATTCTCTCATTGAATATTAGTAAAAATAAAGTTATGTAATACTATTTTACTGTTTGATATATATGGGCAACAAAACCTATCAAAAAAATTCAAAAGAATATTGAAAATAATTAATTTATGAATTATAATATTATACATGATTTTTGAAATAATCACACTTCAAAATTGTTGTTTTTAATTCCTTTCAATTTTTGAAGGCAAACTCATACGAATTTCTGAGAACCTATCGAAAAGGATTTGGGTCTGATTATATTGACATTGCATAAATTATTGAACTAATATATAATCTCACATTAAAAACTGTACATTAATTGGCTGGACATTGAAAAAATTCAATGAATTCAATTTTGAAAAATTCTTTCATAAAATAAATCCAAGAAACTTAAAATAATAATACATTTCAGTATTCTAAAGAAAAGTAATTTTAATAACCCAGACAAAATGGGGTATTATTATTGTCGTCTGGCGGTTTTAGACGACAATGCGAATTTTCAAATAATAGGATTTTTAGCCAGATAAAGAGCTACTCCATATATCATGCGTGTTTGCATACTATATACATAGATGGAATTGATGTTCTTCCTTTATTTAGGTACCGAAACATGCTTGAAAAATCTATTTTTTAGACGACAATGATAATTTTGTCACTTTTCCAGACGACAATAATAATTTGTCACCTTTTTAGACGACAATAATAATTTTGTCACTTTTTCCAGACGACAATAAAACATCCTCAGACAAAATAGCCTTCTCAATTTATATATACTTTTAAAAAGATTGTCAACATCTTTAATGATGAACAAATACGAGAGAGACATTCTTATGACAAGAAAAACAAGGAAGTATAAAGAGTTCACAAAGAACATTGAAGATAGAAAACTTACAATGGAAAGGATGCAAATTCTTGGAATTAAACTTGATTATGTAACTGCTTTCATCGATAGGGAATATGGATGGCATGTAACATTTGCACATCTTCTCCAACTAGCGGAGGTACTTCATAAAAAGCTAGATATCCAGCTTGACCGCCTTGCAAAGCGAAATCGAAGTGCATTACTATGCTGGTACACAGAAACCTGGGATTTGATACAGCCAAAGCTGGTATCTATGAGGAAGAGATCAAATAGAAGAAGGAAATCAATAAAACAAGAAGTCTCATCACCCAGAAATAATCAAATATGCAACGCTCGCGAAGATGGAGTAGAGGCAATCAAATTAGTCGATCCTTCAAATATAAATTCACTTCTTAATAGACATTAGATTCCTCCTTTATTAAGAATTTTCAGAAAAAAATGGAAATAGCTTTCAAATTATATTTATCATATTTGTTCTTCATTATCACATACTTATGAGTAAATTTAAATATGTTTTTGCAATAAACAATCGCTAAGTAATAAAAAAATTGAAAAAATGTAATTTGATGACAAAAATATTGGAACAACTCTATTATTTATGGTGTAGATATATTGTAATACCAGTTTCTATTTTCATTTTACCTGTTAAATATTCAAAATTTTATTTTTGAAAGGAAAATCAATCATCTTTTACAGTTGAACCTTGAAAAACATATTTTTATAATGGAAAATATATTTGAATCCGTCTATTATTCTGGTACAGAACAAAAGATATTTCGAGATCCAAAGAATTGTGATTTTTTTTTTCTGATTTTAATATCTTCCAATATTTTGAATTGATTCGTATTAACAAATCGACATCACGTTTTTAGATAATTTTTTTGATTGTAAATTTGATGTTTTTTAAAAATTATTGATATTTATTTAACAATAGGCTACCTTGACTGCACAAATGATGAATATTAAAACCATCATGTTTAAATCATGTTTTGTAGAAAATTCAACTCACAAATTAAATTTCCAAAAGAAATTGTGAGAATTAATATTTTGAGACTATTCTGAAATTGAATGTTTATTCAATCATTTAAAATTTTATTATATTAATTTAAAGTCATAAAGCATAAATGCAATAAATTTTATCTTTGTACATTGAAAAATATTAATTATTTTTTCTGAATTACGTTCGTTAAAAGCAACTAACGGCTTTTATTTTTTCTTTTTCCTATTTCTGCACTTGTAATAAGATAAATATAGAGAATAATATATTCATTTTGCTTTATTCATAAAAATCATTTTTTATGAGTTTTTCTTGTTGTTTCAAGGATCATTATTGGTCCTATATTGCTGATTTATAAATACTATGCATTAAATAATATTATGCGCCTGTGGATTCAAAATCAGAGTACAAAGTATTCTATTTGAAAGGCTGAAGATTGAAATGGTATGTTAATTCAAGATATTTGAATAAATAACACCAAAATCCCCAATATTTACACTCACAAATTGCTTTCAAATCACTTGAGAAGTTGAAAGTATAGAAACTATTTGAAAGATTTATTCAATGCTCACAAAAATCACATGAACGCTTATTGAATAATCAATAGAACTTTCGAAAATATGGACTTTATCTAACAAAACGAATCGAGGTCCATGTATTTTTTACATATAAAGAATCAAAGTTCAAGATTAACAAGCTTATTGATTTCAAAATTCAATCACTACAGGCGGATACTTAATAAAAAAAAAAAAAAAAAAAAAAAAAAAAAAGGAAGTGGGGCTTCCAGGCACTTCGTGCCTTCTAGCCCTGAGGATGTTTTGTCAAGACTTCTTCATCGTAAATGTTTTGTCAAGACTTCTTCGTAAATGTTTTGTCAAGACTTCTTCGTAAATGTTTTGTCAAGACTTCTTCGTAAATGTTTTGTCAAGACTTCTTCGTAAATGTTTTGTCAAGACTTCTTCGTAAAATCAGACAAAAATAATGTTTATGTTAGAATGTTAGATCTAACACGTTTTCTAACATGTTTTCTAACATCGTAGAAAACTCATGATTTCATCGTAAATGTTTTGTCAAGACTTCTTCGTAAATGTTTTGTCAAGACTTCTTCGTAAATGTTTTGTCAAGACTTCTTCGTAAATGTTTTGTCAAGACTTCTTCATCGTAAATGTTTTGTCAAGACTTCTTCGTAAATGTTTTGTCAAGACTTCTTCGTAAATGTTTTGTCATGATTTCATCGTAAATGTTTTGTCAAGACTTCTTCTTCGTAAATGTTTTGTCAAGACTTCTTCGTAAAATCAGACAAAAATAATGTTTATGTTAGAATGTTAGATCTAACACGTTTTCTAACATGTTTTCTAACATCGTAGAAAACTCATGATTTCATCGTAAATGTTTTGTCAAGACTTCTTCGTAAATGTTTTGTCAAGACTTCTTCATCGTAAATGTTTTGTCAAGACTTCTTCGTAAAATCAGACAAAAATAATGTTTATGTTAGAATGTTAGATCTAACACGTTTTCTAACATGTTTTCTAACCTCATGAATTTTCATGAACTTTCTTTACAAAGTCTTTACGATGAAGAACTTTACAAAGTCTCAACAAAACATTGACAAGAAAGTTCATGAGAAAGACTTTACAAAGTCTTTACGATGAAGAACTTTACGAAGAAATCTCAACAAAGTCTTTACGAAGAAGTCTTGACAAAACATTTACGATGAAATCATGAGTTTTCTACGATGTTAGAAAACATGTTAGAAAACATGTTAGATCTAACATTCTAACATAAAATATATTTTTATTGAATTCCGTATGAAATTTCATGAGTTTTGTATGTTTTAGACCATGTTAGAAAACATGTTAGAAAACATGTTAGATCTAACATTCTAACATAAACATTATTTTTATTGAATTCCGTATGAAATTTCATGAATTTTGTATGTTTTAGACCATGTTAGAAAACATGTTAGAAAACATGTTAGATCTAACATTCTAACATAAAATATATTTTTGGGTCATTTACACTCATTACGATGAAGAAGTCTTAACAAAGTCTTTATGAAGAAATCTCAACAAAGTCTTTATGAAGAAGTCTTGACAAAGTCTTTACGAAGAAGTCTTGACAAAGTCTTTACTGAAAAAGTGTCATATAAACATCTGTCAAAAGCCGCTTTTTAACTTCACTTAAAATGCCACGTAAGCTACGTAAGAATATACGTAAGAGGAAGAGAGCATTGAAACATCCAATAGTAAAACTAACACCACAACAACAGTTGCAACAACAAATGCTGAATGACCCCACTATGTTGCAACAAATGTCAAGCAATCCTATGCTTTTAAACCGAGTTGTTGGTGCACAGAGTGGAGGTTTAAGAGCGGCACTTTTAGCGAAAATGGCAGGCTATGGTGGAGCTGCAGACGGAACAGCCTATAACCCTCAAAGTCAAATGAATTTGAGTTCACTCAAAAATCAAATATCAGATGTCAAAAAGTCAAACATAGACATACAGAAGCAAATAAGTGAAAACGAAAAGAAACTAGAATATGACAGACACACAAAGAAACTCAATGAGTTAAACGTAGAGAAAAAGAAGAAAGAAGAACAACTGAAAGAACTAAGTACAGAGGAATATGCGAAAAAAGTGTCAGAAAAAGCAACAGAAGTAGCAAAAATGGAACAAGATGTCATAAATTTGAAAAACCATACTACTCAATATAAAATACTGAAAGATGAAGAGATAAAACAAAAAGCCCTGAAGACATATATGGATAGCGATGAGTATAAAAAAGAAGTTGAAGCAAATGTAAAGGCAGAAAAACTTTTACAGTTGCAAAACCAAACCGTACAGTATGAAAACTTAGCACAAGAAAGTAAAAATAACGACGCAGCCATGCAAAAGGCAATGAAAAGCGCAGAATATATAAAAGCTAACAATGACTGGTTAGATGCCCAAGCCAACGCCAAGCCAAGCAGCCCATTATTAGGGTCAATAAGGACAAAAATACAAGCGGATGAAGACAGTTCAAATGAAGCTTTAACAAATGCTGACTTTAAGAACGCCTTCGAAGCTCTTCATAGTAAGGTGAAACAAGTGAACGACTTCTCATCTGGAAAGAAACTGAAGTCTGAAGGTTTCGACAAAGAGTTAAAAGAAGTAGCACAAAATATGACGAAAATAAAGATGCAGCAACGAGACAGGCAGTTCAAAGTGCCTATGACGCCGTTAGAGCAACTGTTGTGAAAAGTCAAGAAAAAGAGTTACAACAGACCAAAACAGACCTAGTAAATGCTTTCTTAAGAACGAAAAGTCAGGTAGGACATTACGCTGCAGATGGAACATATGTGCCAGCTGGTGGAATTTATATACCACCAAACCTCCAAGAGAAGCACCTGCACCAGGACTACCTAACACATTTACATCGTCACATGGACACAGACACAGGCATGCACCAAAACCAACACAACAACCAAACAACAACACAACAACCAGCACAACAACCAACAGTTCAAAACCCTGCACAACAACCACCTCACAACCAGAGCAAGGACATAAAAGAAGTAGAGAACAAGGAAACCAAGAATTCTTAAAAATGCTTAAAGAAGAGTGTGGTTTCCCAGATACTGTTGACTTTAGTGACAGATATAAAGAAGCTATTGGAAAGTTCAAGGATGGAAATACTGACCCGAACCTATTTAGCTTTATGGCTCAGCACCAAAACGGATATAATCTCAAACCTGGAAAATACAAGCTCGCTAAGGGATATGATTTAATAGCATATCATCCAAATGACATGGATGAATTTACTCCGAGATATTTGATGTCAGAGCTAAATGACAATTCAACTTTCGTCATGAAACGCGTAAAAAATAGAGACGGAACGAAAGAACAAAAGCTTATGAATGCGGATGACGTAGATAGGGAAATTGTTAAAAACGGTCTCGGAATATATGAAATGCCAGCAGATGAGGTACAAGAAACTCCACAGGAAGAAATAGTTCAGATACAACCAGACATGGAAGAAATAGTTCAGCAACAACAGCTAGAAGAGCCTGAAGGAAACGAACAAGTCCTTCCTTTGGAAACTAACCTCACAGAACTAGATGAAGATTTGGAACAGCCGAAAAATCTTGACCCTCAACAAGAGTATGCGGAGAATATGGAATATTTCCAAGAGTCTAAAAAAAATTCGGCTGACATAGTAGAAGAATATCGAAAAATGTTTGCCGACATACAAAAGACTCCAACACCAGATGAAAATATTCAGCATAGAATGAAAGTACTGAAAGAAAATGTACACAAATACAACAACCCTTTTTACTTACGAGCATTTAACGTTCAATCTTCGGAAACTCGGTGAAGATAAAAGGTTAAATTTCAAGAAAACATATAGAAATGAAACATTGTTTAAAGTTCATTCAGAACCTAACCAAGATGGAAACAAACCTACTTTTGTTTCTGCAGACGATGGAACTACAATGAGATGGGGTCATAAAGCTAATCCAGATAGGTGGTTCATAAACTTACAACCACAATTCAAGAAGTTGTAGACGCAATGGAAGTCAATGGTGAACGAGACATAGCTGGTATTTTAAGCGCGGCTTTAATGCCATTGAAAATATGAAAGATGCAGATATTTTGAACCAGTATGAAATGAACATGGCTGATGGAAATATAACACCTGACGTTCTAGAACATTTATCTCAAAGAACTACACAGAACCATAGAGATGGTATATTTGGTGAAGAGTTTAGAAAGAAAGTTATGGACAGAGAAGGAAGAGAACCTATTGTACATGACCTTGCAAACGAAAGTTTACAAAATGTCATAAAAACTTACTTTGCAGACAATGAACCGAGAAGGGATGAATATTTAAGAAAACTCAAATGGACAGTACCAAATGAAATGTTAGTATTGAAAAACATGTTCCTTGACAAAATAAAACCAACTACAGAAATAAATGACGCAAGACTGAAAGATTGGGTAAAAGCTTTCCCATTCACAAAAGATATAGTTGGTAACATGGAAAGAAAACCAGAATGGCTACAAAAACATATATTTGGAAACGAGCTTATTCCATATGGACAAGCTCTGTTTGAAGAGCTTGAACCGGAAACTCAGGAAAGAGTCATGCAAACAATACGCGAAGACTCAAATACAGACTATGACAAACTCTTTCTAGGATATAGGTTACCTGAGATGGGCGACCAGAGCCAAAAGGCAAAAAGGACATGGGAAATTTGCAACATACTAGATGAACATAATGCAAAGATGCAACAACTTCAAGCAGAGGGCAATGAAGGAAAAAGAAGAGTTAAAAACTCAGTCAGGAAGAAAGTAAAGCTTGGTCGGAGTGGGTTCTATTATGACATATAAATCCAACTATTCTATATTTTTACTCATATGAAATGTACGCCGCTCAGAATATAACGCCAACAGTTTTGGATGCCATGAATGGAAATGTTTCCGAATGTATAACGAATGCGACAATGCCATTAGAAGGTCAGAAATAGTTCCTGGAACTTACGAATATACAACTGCTGTTTCTTATGGAAACGTAGGTGAGTTTGGAGAAGGTTCTTCAACAACAGTAGATATTGCTTGCGACAGTTTCATATAATTTCTATTGACAACTCTTTCTTATACGTGGAACAAGACATTGAAATAAAACCTTCTGCCAAGTTGTTGACAAGAAAGGTTGCAATGGAATTTTCTATGTCGGATACCAATATGCTCCAGAAGTTTCATGGGATATAAGATATATTCTAACTCTGACTTAGTTCAAACAGTAACATGGGCAAACTATGAATGGTTCGCTTTGAGAAACTCAGTACAACCACAAGCTAGAGAACAAACAGACCAGTATGCAACTATTGAAAAATAAGAAGACTTGACCTAACGTTCCAGGAGTTTATGTTAACCTTTCTGGACAAACTGCAGCAGCAGTAACCAAAGTAAAATTGAAACTTAGAGTTCCTTTGTCATCTTTCCTCATCTTCAGGTTTTTAAGATACTTGCCAAACTGGGCAGGAAAAATTTCTATCGAACTTACTCCAAGCAAAAATAACTTAGTCATTGCACCAACACAAGACCCATTCACTCTTACAGAAGTAGTGGGAACAAATAAAATGTCATTCGCCGACTTTTGCAAAAACAAAGTTGACTTAGACTTTGGTTTCTCAAACCTCAACACTGAAGTAAACTATTATTTCAATGCTGCTGGAGATGCTTGGGACCCAGTTAAGTTCACATGCGAAAAGTTTGAATGCAAGAGAATAGAAAGCAGACTTGCAGTCTATATGTTGGACCCAGATATTTCAAATGCTTTAGCTGCCAAATATATTGCAGTTCCACTTATGTTCCCTATACACCAAATATCTGTCAAAGACTTTGCAGGTGAAGTTGGAAACCAAAGTGCTGACCCAGGTGCAAAACAGATATTGCTTTAACAACTGCAATGAAACATGCAGATACTATGTTTGTACTGTTCAGACGAACTATAAATGACTATTCTGTTTCTACAACCCTGGTATTAAATATCATATAAACATAGATGGCAAATATTATCCAAGAGAAGAATATTCTACAGTTGAGGATATGAGGTCATACAACTTGACATTAGATGCTATGAACTTTAACAACAACTTCACAACAACCATTAACCCTGAAATGCAAAGTTCTATTATGCCATATGTGAAAGTATGGACTCATACAGGAGCTCAAAAAACTCAATATACAAATGGAGACCGTTCAAACTTTTGGCTTGGCATTCCATTTGCTGACTCAGAAGACTTTATGGTGGTATTTCAACTGTTGGTACTGTACAAATACATATACTGGTGACAGAGACGGTCCATATGAACTGAGAGCAAAGAAGTTTACAAAACCAATAGCACTTTTCACGGAAGATGCTCTTTTGAAGATTCGTTCGATGAAACCTGCTGGGGCTCCTCAGATTGGCATAACGACAGCTTCCATCGAGCAGATTTTGGCAGCAGGTCAGTAAGTTGTTCTTGAACTGACTTCTCTCCGTCAAATATTGACAGTACGCCAGTTTTGACATAATATTGTATTATAAACTTACCTTTAGTAATATCGGTCAGTTTTGTTGTTATATTTTTGTCAACGTCAAGAACTTTCACCATTTCAGTTATACCAACTTTCTTTGCTTTATGAAAATATTTTGGTTCAGCAAAGACTGCTATTCTATAACATTTTCCATTGTTTGTGTAAAGAACTATTCTGTCAATGTATTTGTATTGTTTGTGTGTGTAAACTTTGTTCTGCTTCAATTCGAAGAGATACTCAAATACGTCCATCTTTCTTATTCTAAGTAAAATGTCATTTCGAAAAATAGAAGCGTAAGTGTTCAAAAGGTTTAATGGCGGTGGCAGATGTGAAGTTAAATTCACCAACTCAAACAAACAGTCAAATGTTGTTGTCAATGTCAAAGACAGAGATGTTGAAGTGGGGAAACCATACGAAGACGAAGATGGTATAGCAATTGTTCCTGTAAAAGAACAACCAACATATCCTGAAGTTAGCAGAGACTTAAGTTCTGTTGCAGATATTCGAAACGACTACCAACAACTGAAAGACAAACTTCAAACTCAGGAGAAGATTTGTCAAGCTTTAAGTATAATGTTAAACTTGGTTGAGCACAACCCTGTAAAAGTGAACTCATATGTCATTGCACCTCATGAAGTTTTGAAAGAACTATTGAAACTTTTGACAGAGGCAGACGATATAAACATCAAAGAAATAGAACCCGACATTGCTTGCTGTGGTGTTTCATATAATGTCATTGACAAGATATACGTTATGAAAGGAGGTGAAACGTTGAACTTAAAATATAGTTTCCCAGACGTTATAAAAATATTTGACGACCACAACATTTCATTAAAATTTATTTGCTAAGTAAATGGCAGAAGATATAATGGTTTATACTATTACGACTAAAAACCCTGAGTCATATAATTCTATAACAACAAACTTACAAAGTCCTCAAGGACGATATTGTAAACTGACCTTAAACACGATGACGACTAAAGCCTGTTTTGCTCTTTTGACACCAGAAGACTTTGTTGTTGTGAATGGTAAAAAATACTTCTTTGAAGATACTTACTCAGATATACCACCAACAGGTTTTGTTGACTTATTTAATACTTTAAGGACGGATGTAACATGTGCTGCAACTAGAGCAGGTTTCATTATGTTTGGATGTCCGACTGAGTTTACTATAAACAATATGAGCTATAATACAAAACTTATATCTGGTTTTTACTACCAACAGTTTCCTATAACAGGAAAAGGTGTCCTACAAGGTTTGTCTATTCCATTGACTTTAAGTACACCTATTTTATATATTGTTTCAAACTTAGGTTCAAAGTGTTATTCGAATGTCGACAGAAACTACTATGACCAAAAGATACTCATGCGTATAAACAACACTTTCTCTGCTGGTTTGCCTATTGTTCATTCGAATGCAGAATTTTCAACCTTAGTGAACTCAAACACTTTGGCAAGTATAACGTTGACATTAGTTGACGCAAACTTTGTTCCTGTAAAACTTTTATGTCCTATGTATTTGTCAATGACGGCAGAAAGTTTCGAATTGGAAGATGCAACTGGTGAAAGTATTGTACTACAAGAACAACTTCAACAACAAATAGCTCAAGAACAACAAATGCAACAAATAGCTCAAGAACAACAAATAGCTCAAGAATAAAAAAATATTTTTTTTTATTTTTATAAAAATGTACGCTGAGTTTGTTGGAGAAGACTGTTGGAAAACTTGTTTGTTAGATGAGAAATATGAAATTCACTGTTCTGAGCCTTTTGAAGTCAGAAACAAAAAGACAAAAAGAGTTTTAAGCGAATGGGAGCAAAATAAAGGATATGCTAGGATGAAGATGGGTGGAAAACACTATTTAAAACATGTTGTCATTGCAACTCATTTTATACCGAATCCTAACAATCTACCTTTTGTAGACCATATAAACCGTATAAGAAAGCGACAATAGACTTGAAAACTTACGCTGGGTTACTCGTTCTGAAAACAATAAGAACAAAAGCAAATTTAGAGATATTGTATTCGAATTTGTCGACGAAACTAGAAGATGAAGCAATTGAAATTACAGACTATGGCAAGCATACGTTTGAGTTTTACTACTTATAGCGAAGAACAAGACTCTTTCTACTTTTATACCGGCGTAAACTATAGAAAATTACAAGTATGTTTTACTAAGGAAGACTATGCTTTTGTAAACACTAGAGATACAGATGGAAAATACGTTAAAATACTTCTTAACAAATTCAAGAAGCTATATGGCATACCATTTTAAAACGTTTTTAAAAAAAAATATTTTTTTATCCGATAGAAAAGATGACAAAATTCATCTCAGTAAATAAGTACATGACAGAAGTCAAAGATAAGTTAGCTCCATTCGCTTATTTGAATGTTTACTTCTACCATTTTGAAAAGTCTACATTTGACAAAGTTTGGAACATCGAACCAGTTAAGTTTGCTATTGTGACTAAAAATGGTGCAACTTTTGAAGACTTAGACATAGAAGGTTTGTTAGCAGTCAAAGAAAATTTTGACAGAAAGTTCTCAAAACTCGAAGAAGGCAAAGCATACAAACTTGTTATACCTTATGAACCAAAGAAAGCAGACGACTATGAATATTATGAGTCTAAGATAGTTGAAGTTCAAGGTAAATTGGGTAAAAAGATTTTAGAGTCTAAGCCAGTGTTTGCTCCTAAAGAGGAAGAGAACATTGACATTGACCCAGAAATGTTCTAAAAATAAAATTTTATTTTTACATGTCATATCTCCCCTTCTCTGGAACTGGTTCAGGTTCTTTTTTCTCTTCTTCTACTTTCTTTTCTTTCTTTTCTCTCTTCTTCTTCTTTTCTGGTGGAGTTATGTCAAATTTCTCAGAACCATATTTATGTAAAAGTTCTTTGTCCTTTAATAGCTCTTCTATTCTGTTTCCTATTTCATCTTCAAGAACAGCGCATGTGTCTTCTTTGCATTCTAAGAACTTTTGTTGGACTTCATCTTTCCAATCGGCGTCATCTCTGTCAACAAGTCTGTCATTGACAAACTTAAAGACTTCTCTGCCTAATGTTTTATGGTTCTTGTCATATTCCCAGAAACAGAACTTTAGAACAAATTCACCTTTTCTTGTTTACACTATGTAAGATTTTATGGTCGACAGATGTTTTGCTGTCGAAAAGTTTGTCTCGAATATAGATAGCGAAATCGCTAGACATTTTCAAAAAGATAAAAATTTTAATTTTTCTAAAAATATGTTAGAAAAAAAGTTTGCTGACATTGACAAAAAATTTGAGAATGTTTTAAACAAGAACAA